AGAGTACGAATATTAATGCACTTAATAATTTTTATGTAATTAAATAATGCACTAAAGAATATAAACTAATAACAGATGCAGAAAGTAGACAAATTCCCTTACCCCTCAAAATTTGTTTAGCTTTCTAACTATGTGACAAGAACCATTACAGATTCATCCAAGCTAATCATTAACTTTCCCAAGAGAATGATGTTGCTACTGTGCATGAAATTGACTTCTAACTGTTCAGAATATAACATTATACAATACATCATTTGATTGATGAAAACCCTGACTTTTATATTGAATATAGGTAATATATATATAATGAAACATACGAGAAAACTATCAACGAATTGTGAAAGAGAGGATTTGCAGAAGGGGGCTGATTTTCTATTCAATAGCTCTGTAACCAAAAAAATTAAAGACTATAAAAATTATGGTTTTTCTGAGGAATAATGATTTTATAGATAATAATTTATGTTTAATTTCATACATTTTCGAGGGGTAATGGATAAAATAGGGATGATGACATGCTAAGACAAAATATGTCATGTGTTACACTAGTGGAAATTCAGGAATTTTTTATATATTTCCTTGTATAATTAAGAACTTAAAACTTGTACATTATTAAATATGGATTATTAGCTAAGATTTTTTGCTATTCTAATTGGTATAACATAAACAAAAAGTAGTTTAATAAAATTTTGAATGTAAGACACTAAAACCTTGTGTCATGTGCAGTAAAGGGTACCCGGAACAATAGGGTTAAGGCTTATTAACACATTCACTGCCATGTGGTCCACTGGTGGGTCACAACCAAATTTTAGTTATGGACCCCATGACACAATGGTGGGTCACAGACAATTATGTTTCATAGCCAAATTTTTCTTTGTGGCACGTGAGTTTGGGACATTGACTGCTCTTGGCACCTCTTGAATGGTACTAGGGTAGGAATTATTAATATTACTGGTGACAGTGAACATGTTAAAGGTATCTTGTTGATTTTTAGTTTGTTTAAAATTGTGGAATTTTTATTTTTTAATAGACATACTATGATTTTAATGAGTTGTAGAGCTGGGAAGCTTGAGTTTTTTATTTTTTACAATGATGTTTACCATATAAAATAAAATTGTCGTCAAATCAAATAAGATTACTGTTTTTAGTGAGCACAGGAGGTATCTGGAAAATAATATGGTGACTCAAAACTGTATTGAGTATTATTTTTCTGTTTATCTTATTCAAAAAAAACCTATGTAAATTAAGTGGCTAACTGGCTACATAATTGTTTCTAACTTCAGTTGTGATATGTTTTAAATAAAAGCATTATCACCTTTCTTGTTGATAGTAAAACGTTTTTATTATTAAATATCAATTTATTTGATTTACAGAAGATCAATGTGGTATTACGACATATTTAAAAATTTAGATAATGGCAAGTGCATGGTTGTATTTAGTCAACTCATTCATTCAATTCATTTGCAAAGTAGGTAATGTCTTGATTACTTATATATATATATAAATTGTGCCAGAATATTATTTTATAAATAAAAGGTTGTATGTTTTGAAAAAACATTAATACCATGATACAATTGTACAATATTTGTAAAGTTTTTAAGTTAGTGCACTCCTCTCCCTTTTGTTTGCTTGTGTGGGGTTGTAGGGAGTGTGTGGTAATTGATTAATGAGCCTGTTGAGCAAATATCACTTATTACCCAGCTTTACTCTAAACCACATCAAATTCCCACTGAACTCACATACCTCTGTTGGCCCCAGTTTTTCAGGTTCTTTTTTGTAATTCTTGACTAATCTCCTATGAGTACTTAGACATTGTCCTCTGTGTGATTTAAGTCTGGCCTTAGCTACCTGTCTTCTTTTGAACCCTTTGTTTGCTCTACTATCTTTCTCAGAACATGTATTTTATTGTGTTACTTGCTTCTTGGAGGAGATTATCAGATGTTTTTGATGTTTCTCACACTCTTGTTTTTTTCAGGAAGGCTCTATATTCATTTCGTGATATAGCCTTCCACCAAAGAATTGAGCTGTAAAAGGATGTTCATTGCTGTTTTTATCCTATTGTGCTATATACTCTGACTAACCCTGATGCTTCTTTTGAAAGACATTTTCTATGAATGGTCAGGGGTGTTGTTTCTTGTATTGCAAGAATGGAATCTTTATGAGGGATTCTCATTCTATAAATTTTGCTTTACCTGCATTAACTCATTAGCTGATCTGTCTTGTTTTTAGATGATGGTGTTTCTGACCATCTTAACCCTGTTTGAACCAGTAGCAGCTCTCAAGAGAGCACTGAGGGCATACATACATAACAATTTTATAATTTAAGTACAAATAGTAAATCCAAATCTATTTCAACAATTTATTTAATTGAAAATATTAAAGGATTGATATTTTGTAACTTTGCAAAACTTATTTAGAGTAATTTAAAAATAAAAAAAATGTTTGAACTTTGATCTCTGTGCAGTTCTAGTAATATTGACATTAACCCTCTCGCTATGGGCATCCTTTTCTTCTCAAGTCACAAGGTTTTACTGAGTTATATTCAAAATTTAATTAAACTACTTTCTTATTATTGTATATGAATAAACTTAGCATAAAACTGTAGCTAATAATCCAAATTTTAATATTATATAAGTTTTAATTTCTTAATTTTATAAGACAATATTAAAAATAAATCCTGTATTTCCTCTAGTATGAGAATTGTGACATTTGCACTCTAGATACAGAGCCATAAACTAGAAAATCAGACACCTCTTGCCAAGCCCACATGTCACATTCATTCTTTCAGAAAATGTCAGCAACTCTGACATTTAATACTATATCATTTATAAACAATAGGAAGCGAGAGTTTCAATCCATCAAATGACATATTATATTATTTTCTTTCTGTACAGAGAATTGTCTATTTTGCATCCAATTCAAAGTTTAGCTGAATTTTTAATGGCTCTTGTTGCATAGTTAGAAAATCATAAAAATTGCGATAGTTATAGAACATTATCTGCTTTTTACATTTTATTATTCTCTGTTCTTTGGTGCATTATTTAATTAAATAAAAATTTATTTAGTGCTGATGTACCATTGGTATAAAAAATAGGGTTAAGTTTCATCAACAGTTGACAGCAAAAAAGACCTTAACAAGTTTCTTGTTTTTCATGTATATTCCTTATTTATTATTATAAAAGTAACTAAAATGTATGAATTAGAAACTTTTTAGGTTAGATTAGGTAAAATGAAAAATATTATTAATAAGAAAATTTTTCATGAGAGATACTTGTAATTCGATAAGGTAACATGAGCTACACATTTGCCAAGTGATTTACACCTTGTGTAGTCAGAAAGGGCAATAAAACAATAAAATTTAAATGTAAACAGGTGTATACTGTTACAAGTTTAAAGCTACTTAGAATAAATAGTTCCATGTTACAAATTGAAGTCATTCCAGAAAGAAAAAATGTGATAATTTATTTTAATTTTTTTTTGGTGGTCAGTCAATTTAACTGATCTTTTATAGAGTTAGGGTATAGAAAATAAAAGATAAAATATAAAGCTTTTTTTTACTGAAAAAAAACATGGCTAAACATGATTGCACAAAAAACATTTGTCTATATCATTGTCAAAGTATTTAATGCAAAGTTTACAAAACTTAGGAGCAAGATACAAATCTGGGATTTTTTATTGTAATTTTTTATTTTTTTCATTGATGATAATCATTTTTTGTGCTATATATGTATTATAACTATGAGGTTATACATAAAGTAAAGATATTTAGGGTATGCAAGTATGGTAAGATAGGAGTTTAGCGATGGCAAACCTTTCAGAACATCATTACAGCTCATAAAACTGACTGCATTGCCTGAATTAAATAGTATGATTTGAGAAAAGGTCCTCCATTGAAAATAATGCCTTCTTTTTGAGTGTCCTTATGTTACAGTCTTTATATAAGACTTATATGGTCCATTTTATCTCCATCATATCCAATTCTGCAAATTATTTTTTGTTTTTTGATTCTATTTTGTCTGTTTGGCTACATATGTCTTATAGCCTAGATAATTATCTTCCTGTCCTTTAGCTTTTACTCTTATATTTTCTGTTTCTTTTGATATTCATTGGTTCCAATAGGTATTCTGATTTTCATTATTTCAGAGGTTAGTCTACCTGATTTTAATTTTACATTTTTATATTAAAATGAATTTCAAACAGGTGTTTACCTCTGAAATACCTTATCTCCCACTTCATAACCAGATTTTAATCACAACTGCAGTTTTCAATGAAATTAAATTATGGTGGGAAAGTAGAGCTTACATAAGATCCCCTGACACAATAGGTCAGGTGGAAGTGTGGAGAATTATGGGGAAGTGATTCATGCTCTACATTGTGTAAAGTGCAGTCGGTAATTTTGAGTCACAGGTTTTATAGGAAAGGTTTTCAGTATTTGATAGGGAAGTACCTGTTTGAAATTCATTTTAATTCTTAAAAATGTACAATTTAAGAATTTCTTCATAAATATTTTGAATCATCTTTAGTTTTATAACCGTGAAGAAGCATCGAAACTGGAAACTAGCTGTAACTTCGTAAAAAGGTTAAAAGTAATTAAAACTATATATATATATATATATATATATAAAATATATATATAGATATATATGTACAAGTAAATAAGCAACTTTTCAAAAAATGAAGTGTAGTAGGATGTTAACAGAGAAAAAATAGGATAAATCAAATTCAGTTCTGATTGAATAGTTATATTGCTATATTTTAATTCTTGCCTGTCCAGTTATGTAGGGTTGATGCAAATGCCATCCCTACATTTATTTTCTTTTTTTGAAAAGTTTTTCCTTTATTTGTTTGCTTGTTTTTTTTTTAATATAGTGTTTCAGTTTAACTTAGGGAGGTTATACTTATAACCAAGTTCTAAACACAATGAGGATCTAACTGTAATACTTATTGTTTATCCGTTATTGGCTGGTAATTCCTGTTTCACCCTATACTTAAACTTTTAACTTTTTTAAAGGAACACCAAATGTCTGTAAGAAAGCTAGCTTTAAGGGATAATGATAACATTGTTCACACTAGAATTATGATTTTGTTTCGTTACTTTTTATTAGTTAGTAATACTTGTAAAAGTGGATACTCTGTTTGAAACTATGTCACCTCAGTAAATTTGCTTGACATCATTGCTTTGATTTTTGAGTTATCATCTGATAAAAAGAAGCAGAAGAAAGAAGAACAAGAAATTTAAAGTTTTTACTAGGATATTTACAGATATTCCCAGAAATTGTGACTCAGTCATTACATAGATATTGTTATAAAAGTAAACATTGTATAGTATTGTAAAGTTCTGATGACGGATTGAGGAGATATTTAAAGTACTGTTTCAATGAACAATCTGAGTCATCCTTACATAGGTAGTGCTACCGCCTGCCTGATATTTTGTTTAGTATTATATCATTGTTTTTTGCAAATCACTTGAAACATGATTAACATGATTTCCTCCTATAAATCATATTCTTTAATTTCTGTAACTTTTAGAAATTATGAAGTGGACTTTGTTTATATCTTGGTGCGTGAAATCAAAGAAATTCTTTTTCTCAATTAGTTGTGCAATGATGTTGCTTCAGAAAGGTGCTAGTTGTGTCCTTGATTTAGTCCAGACTAGACCAGAAAGAGAGGAAAAAAGAACTTGGAAATGGAACCATGTAAAGAAAGCACCCCAGTCTCCAATTAGACATTCAATTTTACAGGTATGTTGCATGTGATTCGAATCATTTTATTCTACATTTAATGCTTAAGACAAACTACTTTTGAAATTAAGAGATAATTTGAATTCTAGTTTATCACCAGAGTTCTGTGGATGACAGTTAAAATGTGTATGTGTAAAATCTGATTTGTTTTGGCTGAAATATTCCTCTAAAAATGCCTGTATAGCTCAAATTGGCAGTTATTCTTTTTTCTGTATCTTTCATTTTCAAATAAATACTGATATATTTATTTATTTCTTGTTTACATCTCAGGATAAAATGATTTGATAAATTTTTTTACAGAGATTTTAACATGTAACTTTTACTATTAGCTAAATACACATAGAACTATCAAAGGTGTTGAACACAACAGGGTTTGTAGACATTTTGCTTGTTTTCTCACAAAAACTAATTAAAAATTTTGTGCTACTGTTTTGAAAATCATCCTATTATGTTGCTTTACACTACTCTTGTTTATTATGATTGAACTTTCTTGTGCAACAGGAAGCAGTAAGCATAGAATGGCAGGGAGTGTTACACCTGATGTTAGATCAGCTAGAAGCTGTGGGCAAAGGATTAACTCTTGCTGTGGAGGTATGATTCATTATTAGCATTTGCGGTGTATGTAAAAACCAGCGTACGTTTTTCTCTATTAACGCTCTTGATATGGGTAGGTAAGAGTGTACATGCCACAACTTTTTACAGAGTTACAGTCAAAAATTTAATTCAATTACTTTATTATCTATGTAAATGGAGATACTTGGCATCCAAATGTTGTTAATATATCAAATATTTATATAAGTTTTAATTTTTTATATAAAAATGGAAACATTTGAGTAAAATCTCAATCTCCTCTTGTCAGTGTAATGTGATATTTCTTGTTCCACATTCCCCATATTCTGTTTTTTCGTCATCCACTCCATGATGTCCAAGTTAAACATCAATTATTCATTATAGAATAGATATTGCTAAGGCATAGTCTAGTTTTTATAGCCTTTAATTTTCTTTGTTTATGGAAATATAAACTAGAAAATGAAACCCACATGCCACACTCCTTTTATATCCTCTTATTCGTAACTTGCCAATTATTGTCTATTACATCATTTGAAGTTTGAAATTACATCATTTATAACCAATAAAAAGTCAAAGTTTTAATTTCCCAAATGATGCAAAATGCTTCCTTGCTCTCAATAGAGATTTTTTATTTATTTCACCTGCATATTCAAAGTTGCTGTTGCTGAGTTCAGATTGAACAACTAAGGAAATTATTTTCAAGCTCTTATGCCTTAGTTAGTATCCCAGTTAGATTATAATAGTTATAGGATACTTCTTGCTTTTCATGTGTTATTATTTTGTGTTCTTAAGTGCATATTTGAAATAAATAATCATACCATCATTTCAAAAAGTAGTGTTAAGGTTTATCAGTGGGCTGACAGAAAAAAAAGCCAAGTGTCAGTACTAAATTTCTTCTCTGTCATGTATATCTTTTATTTATTGTTACAAAAGTAACTAAATGTAAAAATTAGGAACTTATTAGGTTAGATAAAGAAAAAAGTAAAAAAAAAATTCTCCTTGATGAATGCAAGTGAGTAGCTTGTGCTTTACATCATTTGTTACTATAACTTGAGCTTAATTTTAATTTCAATCTTGAATTCAGTGTCAAGTGATGCATCTGTGGGTTTGATTTTCTTATTGTAGTTTTTTTCAGCCCTTATGTGCATCTTGGAGTTCACCAAATTAGATATACATACTATAGATATAGATAACCCAGAATACAAAATTTGAGTGTCTAGTCTTCTTGCTTCAGTGAAATATTATTATTTTTGTCACACCCATATGACACACTTTAACCAATAGAAAGAGTAGTTATTTAAAACCACAATAATCTGGTGATTTTCTCTCTTGTTTTGACGCTCAAAGTCAGGAAGTCAAGAAAATTGTGAAATGTGTTGAATCAAGTCACTTTTCTGATAAGTAATGGAATTTGTTAACCAATATATATTTTAGCTAGAAAACTAGTTAAATTATATTAGTTTTGGACATTCTGTTCTAGTGCCTGATATATTTGTTTATGTTATAAAATATTTTTGAAAGCAACATGAATTATTTTGTGGACAACTAGCATAGTGTGAAAAAAAAGTAGCTTATCAAAGTGCATTCTCGAATACAAATACTTTAGTAAGTCTTATATGTCTTGTTTTTTATGAATATTTATTGTTATTTATTTATTTTAACAAAAGTTATTGAAATATAAAAATTAGAAACTTATTAGTTTAGATAACAAAATGTAGATGAAAAAAAAATTAAATAAAAAATTCCTGAGAGAAGCTCCACTTAACTATGTCACATGATTGTAACTTGATTGTTTGTTTACAGTAAGTTGTTTTTAAAGAGCATTTTAAAATAATAAAATTAAAAGCAAGCAGATGGGAAATGTTTAGAAAACCGAGGTTGTTGTACAATATAAATCGTGACTGTTTGATACAATCTGCAGTTATTTTAGAAAAAAAGAATGGTATTCATAATTTTATTTTATATTCTTCAATATTTTGTTTCACTGTTTTCACTACCGGTGATGTTATGGTAGAGGAAATAAAAGATAAAATATAAAGTTTTACTTGAAAAAAATTGATATTCATTTATCAGGTTTTAGAGGTTATGTAAATGAAATGTGAAAATTGTAGGATAAAAAGAAGTATTTTATTCTTTGTATCAAAACCACCTTTGACTTAAGAGTAAATCAATAAAGGCTTTGTAACTTCACAGACAAATCTTAAGCAAAAACACTTTATTAAAAAATCTGATTTATTTGTGCACGACAGAGTTGTAGTTTTTAATAAAAGCTTGCCAAATTAAATACACTTAGTATATTAAGAGTTGTAGTATGCATAGTTTCATGTTTACATGACAGTTACAAGTTTGGTCAAAATGATAGCCCATATACAAATAGTTTAAGTGTGAAAGATATGGTACCTTCAAATTTGAAATGAGCTTTTTGAATTCTTTCAAGTTTTTAAATGTAGAACCTAACTTTAAGAGTAAAACTTGTGTGCTGTTAAAGCATTCACTGTAATAATATTAATAACACCCTTTCATCACTACCTATTTGAAGCACTAGTAGTATGACTGTTCGGCAGACCAGATTTTTTCATTTTGATGCCATCCTTCACTATTGAGTAATCATATAACAATAAATTTTACGGGTATATAAAAAATGTATTAATCTATAATATTCAACGTAGAACTTAATTTTTTAAATTAAAAGCTAAATTAAAAAATAATTCAACATTTCTTCTCCTATCATAATGATTTTATAAATTTAAGTGCGAATAGTATTTTCAGTTTCCTAATTGATTTTTTCAAATTATATTACACTATTTTATTCTTGCTAATATAGCTTTATTTGTGTGTGTTGACTTGTATTTCACTATAAAAGTTATTTGTTCATTAAGAAAGAGATTACATGTAAATGTAATGGTACTAAATATTGTTTGTTCATAGGCAGCTGTTGCAACTAGGCATTATCAGTTAGCTCTGAAGCTTATTTCTCAAGTGAAACTTGGGTGGACTCTTTATAGTGAAAAACAAACCATGCTACATCTTCTTGCACGAGAAGCAGAAGCTGGAAGTCAAGGAGAACTACAAGTCAAGGTAAAAATTTTAGTCCATTCATACTTCATAGTCAAAGCTTAGCTCTGTTTGATCTATGCATTTGATCTAAACATTTTTTCCAGCATAATATATTCTCTGAAGTCAAATGTAAGGGAAGATGTTTTACTTGAATTTTTTTTCCATTTGTATAATATTTTATTTCTTTCTCAGTCTTATTTATCATTAAGTCTAATTTGAATATTAACTAGTGTGCTTGTGCATACACACTAATGGAAATAATCATGGAAATACACATTATACACATACAGGATTCAGAATAATGAATAATGCAACTATATGTTGAATTTTTTAACAGTACAAAACAGTATCACATAAAATACAGAAGAAAAAGGAATAAGCCCTACAATATGCTTGGACCCTCTAATGAACACTGTCAGGTCTTATGTTGTCATGCAGGGGGTCCACTATCTCCTCATAAATCCAAATGAGATGCAGTCCCATCATTGGTCCTTGGTGGGACAGTGTTCCACATCCTCTCCTTAATTCCATGGGTAAGTGGAATTCTCCTTGCCTACTTGGTGGGGGAGTAAAGACAACTATTTGTAAATCCAGACGGGATGAGTTGTGGACTTTGGTGGAGTATGGCATATGATCCCATCAATTCAGACTTGGGATGTTGCCTTTTGGACTTCTTCAGGTTGATTAGAAAGATTGTCCATTTTGGTGTTGCTTTCTTTCTTTCATAAATCGGGGGTTCGAAACACATCATTCTTTCATTACTGGTAGGGATCCTATCACAAAGATGTATATATCTGCAGTCTAACTACCCTGGCCACCAACGTGGGATATGGGTACCATGAACCCTTAAATTCAACCCGAGTTGTGGAACCTCGACTGTTTGGTTGGGGCTGGACCATCATACTTGTATTATATTCCACCCTTTTCATATTTCTGTAGTTCTGGGTGAAGAACATACCTATTCTGAATGTAGAGCAGTGTTCCCCATTTTGATACCCCTTCTTGTGGTACATATTTGTTCTCTGCAGATGCTTTCTGTATGATCTCTGTCCTCACCACCCCCTCCACCTTCTCAATGTGGGATTCTAGCTATTAGTGTCAGCGGAGGTAGGTATGTTTTGGAAGTTATCATTTTCCTAAACTGAAAATGTATTTCCAAACATACTTACCTCTGCCGACACTCTCACTCCCATCCTTCCCCACTAAGAGCCGATGTTAGTGACCAGAATGTGCTAAGTCTCAAAAAAGTGATTTTATTGTCTGCATACAGTACTTATATACAGTACCTGCATACAGGGCATGTGAGGGCCGGCATAAAGTTTTGCAAATTAGATGTTGTCGAGGGCAGTTAAGTGGAGTATATAAGACTGGAGCAAGCAAACACAACGTTAGATAGCAAAGATGAAGATCGAGAAATAGCTATTAGTGTCAGCGGAAGTAAGTATGTTTGGAAATACATTTTCAGTTTAGGAAAATGATAACTGCTACTCCTACTACTACTCTGCATAGTAGGACGAACTGGCTTTTATAAGATATATATATATATATATATATTGTGACACTTTCTGATAGGTTGGATGACAAACTATCAACACATTACTTTACTTGGTTGCAGTTAAACTTTATATGTGTAGTTTTCCGTTTTATACCTTTTGCTTCATTGTTTTCATACTTAATTTTAATATTGTATATTTAGGTTGTAACTGAAAATTTCCTGATGATTAATGTCAGGCTTATGAGTAAATGTTTTGGTTTTTTATTGATTAGCCTCCTCCTTGGTTTTTTTTTTCTTTTTGTAGAAATTAGTCATCACTTTTCCATTTCTACTTGATAAAATTGGATGATATTCCATTTATAGTGCTTATCTTAAGTTTTATAAAAGACAATTCTATACAGGGGATTGACAGCAACTGAATCAGAAATGAAGAGGTTTAAGAAAATAGTTTTAGTAGTATGGAATGAGGTGTTGTGGGCCTACTTTGTGGTACTATCATTAAGCTTATTCAAGGTAAAGGTGTAGACCATAAAAGTAAAACATTTTAGACAAAAAGTACCAAAACTGCCATAGCAAAGGTTGTTACACAAACTTAGGTTTGAGATTCAAGGCTAAAATTTTGCATACACATATCATTGCACCTTTAAAGGTTAAATAAAAAATATTAAACTGATATTAGTGCAGCTTATTCTAAGTCATCTAAATAATGGCATGGTATTGAGCTGAAGAATAGTTAACATGAAGAAGTCATTCCTGAATTAATTGCCTATCAATGGACTTCTGAATCATACAGGATATAAAATTGTGATTTTTGATGCTCCAATTGTTGTCTAAGTTATCTCATCACTTTTTTCTTCTTCTTTTCTGTAACTGTATGATTTTATTGCTAATGAAAGTATTTTTGATTTTAAAAAAGGACAAAAATTGTAGTATATATATATTTACTTTTTAATGTTCACAGATATTTTTGCTAGGAATTACAATGATCATGGCCTAACATAAATAACAAGGACTTTTTTTTCTTCTTTCAATGCTAGGTAGCAAAGGCTCTGATAGAAAAAGGTGTACCAGTTATGGCACGAGATGAACATGGTTGTTCTGTGGTCACATATGCAGCTTTGAACTGGAATGACACTTTGTGTCAGTATTTCACTGGTAAGTGTGCTTAAACAAAAGTATATATATATAAATTAGTGTATGAAAAACATCTTTTAGAAGAAAAAACAACATAAAATATATTTTTATTGGTGAAGAAATACTATTGGTTATTTTGGCTGCATCACCACAGCTTTTTTAAAATTTTCATCAATTAAAACTTGATTTGCTTCTTGTGTGGTGTTTATAAAGTTCTTGTACATACTACTTCTTGCTCACTTAATATTTATATCTGTATCAGTTACTTATGTAGGAATCTGTCATATCTGTTAATGGTAAAGCTGGTCTTGAGGTTAAAAGGAACTTGCCTCACAACATTTAATAATATAAAGAAACATAGTATCATAAAAAAATTACTTTGGGTAGGGTTTCATGTAAAGACTCTTTTGTTGTTGTGCTGAGTATTTTGAAAATAGTGATAATTGCAAACAATAATTTAACATTGTTTATGTTTCCTTTGGTCTTATTTATATGCCAAATTTGTTATTATTTATTTATATTCTAGATAAAATGGGAATGGTGGCAGTAATTAGAGCCGATCCAGATAAATCACAACGTACTCCATTTTCTGCTCTCTTTTGGAGATTAGGCTCTGAACCTTTCCCAGAAGGAATTAGGTACAGTAATTTTTGTATAATTTCATAGAAATTGTTTTGATCTAATTAATGAAATGTTTTATAATTAGTTAGGTGCTGTATTCAGTTTGGTTGAATTAATATGTATTTATGCACTTGAGCAATTCAGTAAAGTGTTAATATTATTAAGTAATTTTGTTGTAGGTATTTTTGTTGTCTTACGAATGGTATTGTTATAAATTGTTGCTCTAATTAAAATGAAAAGTTTTACTTACTGCAGTTTTTACAATAACAGTAGATGATTTGATAATAAGAAAGATTTTTTTTTTTTCATATTTTGCACCCCCTTTCTCCAGGAACTGGTGTCTTAATCTAATAAGGTCTGGTGCATCTCTTAACACCCTTGCACACTATCCAGTTTGGGAAACTCCTTATCCTGGTGTAACATGTAACACTAAAGACGTTACCCATTTAGAAGCTGACGCCTGTTCCAAGTTATCTCCATTGATGGTGGCCATATTTAAACAAAATTATGAAGTTGTCAAAATGTTGATTTCAAATGGAGCAGATTTAAACTTTCCTGATGAGCAACTGAGAACTCCCTTAATGTTGGCTGTTCGACTGGTAAGCATTTGTTTTTTTGTCATGAATTAAAATGTGTAGTACATTAAAAAACCTACTTAAGAATATACTTACCGTGTTATATATAGGTTATCTTACAGATCTTGTGCATAAAATGACTATTTTTTTCTTTTCTGGATAGGGAGTGGATATTTATCCTTCCTTGTTAATGTATGTATAGCCCCTAGACTATTGACTAAATGACTATTTTTTTCTTTTCTGGATAGGGAGTGGATATTTATCCTTCCTTGTTAATGTATGTATAGCCCCTAGACTATTGACTAAATGACTATTTTTTCTTTTCTGGATAGGGAGTGGATATTTATCCTTCCTTGTTAATGTATGTATAGCCCCTAGAACAACCTTTTTTTCTGCTATGGGGAAAACTTATATAATGAAATATGTGTTATTATAGTAAATTAAAACTTTGCACCTTATGTACCAACTGGGATGTGATTGATGGATTTTATTTCTTAAACATGTATACTTCCTTTCTTCATTGTATTTGAGAATTATATTGTAACTTTGCTCATCTTAAACAAATGTCACCATAAATGTCATAGAACAACTAAAGTACAGTGCAGTTTCTTTTTTACTTTTACTTAAATTAGTTCTGGTTGATTAAATGCTATTAATTAAGTTTAAGATTGCCTTGTACTGGCAACTGTTTGAAGTTTTTGTTAATGAAATTAACACAATTGATTACTGATTTGTAAGTTATAACTGGAAGAGTCTTTTTACACTGACATATCTTTTTAAGACCTATAAACATGTTTGAACTTGTACCTTGTTTCATTTAGCATAAGCAGCTCTTTTCTTTTATAAAAGGTTTAGTTGGCAATTTTTACATGCAAAAGATAGTTGATGTGCTATTAATTAATTCTAATTTATGGCTAGAATCTAAAGATTATTAATATTGAAAACCTTTTATAAAATGATTTTTGAGCTTATCCTGAGATCTAGTTAACCTAATGATCTTTGGCTTGGAATAAAATACCTCATTTATTTGGGCGTGAAATATACAAGAGACAATTGAAAAATGACTTTTTCGAATGAGTGTGACTGTAAAACACACTTTAGGCCCCCTCAGAATTATGTCTGCTCAGTAATTCTATCACATCTCATTGTGTTTGTTACTATTTTAGAAACTAGCATAAATAATTATTAGGAAAAGATCTATTATTGATTGGTTGTTTTTGCAAGAAAAATTTGCCTTCAGAATTACACATTTTTAAAAATCTTTATTATTATATAGAATGATGTGAAAATGGTGAAACTACTTTTGAACAGTTCGTATAATCCAGACAATGATTACAAACCACTGTCAGGTAAGTATATAGAATGAGTTAATCTTGGCATATTATTATCTTTTTGACTGCCGTGTAAATAACAGGGAACATATAATGTTTGAAAATGTTATGAAATACAGGGAAGTGTTTTTTACTGATATATGGCTGGCATTATTTACTCTTTGAATGAATAGTCTGCATCCAGGATATCTCCTGTTTGAATAAATATTCTCTACTTAGCATATCTTGAGATTAAATATATAGTTGTTCTGTGATGTATTCTACTTGATTAAATAACCTGTATCCAGGATATCTTCTGTTTGAATAAATATTCTGTATTTAGGATATCTTGAGTTTAAATAAATAGTTTTTCTGGTATATCTTCTATTTGATTAAGTAACTTGAATCTAGGATATCTACTGTATGAATTTATAGTCGTTATTTAGCATTCAGAATATTTTCTTTCAAATTTAGTTGCTTGCATATAATTTACAACCAAAATATCTTCAGGATGATGAGACTATTCTCTAGAAATTAGTCTTTCTCTTATAGCAGTGGTTCCCAAACTGTGGTTCGTGAAACCTTTTTTGAGTTTGCGAATTGTTTCAGGGGGTTCTCATAATTTTTCAGTAATGAAGAAAGAAAAAGTTTTTGCACACATTCATCACACTGATTAGATTATAACTTCAAGACTCTTCATGAGAAATGGAAAGTTGGGGGGGTATTGTTTGCTATTTTTAAAATTGAATAGACTGCTAGTGTTGTTTTTATGATTAAAATGAAGATCAAGTTTAGGCTTAATCAAATTGATATGAGTTACATAAGTGAAATCTTGGAATAGTGATGCTGTTTTCATAATGTAAAAAAATTAATAATATAATGATAAATAATGCAATAAAAGTGTTATAAGAAAAACAAGTTTTATATTTCCAAGGTCACTGTTTTTAGAATTTATATTCTGATAAGTAAAAAAATCCCTGGAAAATATTTATCATTAGGAATGGGATTTGTGAGATTTGGCATTTTCATAAATGGGGTTCAAGTGATGTTAAAGTTTGGGAACCACTGTCTTAAAGTAATCATAGTGTTCCTGTGCAAGTGCATTGCTATGATATACATTAGCAGTGGTATTAATTCATTCATTAAAAACTGTTATTATTTCTGTTAACTAGGAACTGCAAGTATTAGTATAACATAATTTTTTTAATCACTCTAGCTTGATTTTAAGGGTGAACTACTTAATCCAGAAGCTCTATCTAATAATGAGGACAGTGAAAGTAAACTTAATTTGTATTCATTAGGCCAGAGCATTGAATTTGAGAAAACTAGTGGAGTTGACCTGACAAAACAAGACAAGAATGGGTGGACAGTGATGCATCATTTGATATGTCCCCATGCTAACTTTACGTACAGTGACACAACACTTCTCTACTTGCTTGCCAAAGTAGGAGCACCCATCAATACTCCAGACAACACAGGTCTTACTCCACTACAGCTGGCTGTCAGCCGTCAAGCAGAATCACTCCTCATTGCATTACAGGAGCTATTAAAAGTTCCTTTCAATGAACAGGTGAGGTTTGGTTAGGATAGTGTGTTAAAGGAGCTGTTAAGAGTTTCTTTTGTTAAATGGGTAAGTTTGAATAATTGCAGTGTATTACAGGAGCTACGGAATCCACCTGCCCTCAGGAGACTTGGTTGCTAAACCATGCACTAAGCCTCATTGATTTTCTCAAACTGATGTGAATACATATTAATTTTAAATACGCATTTTAGAAAATTAAAATTACCACCCACCAGAATAGAACATCACAAAACTACTATAATATATCTAACTTTTTAGTTAAGCTTATATTGGCAACAAAAGTTAATTTGTATTTGGAGCAACAATTTTAGTAAATGTGTTCAATATTTTGTAGTGAATTTCGGCCATAAAATTGACAAACAACCATCAGATTTACATGGTTCAGTAGCTTCTCTTTCTATTGGCTATAAATATGTATTTATGACAAGTAGACAGAGTAAATAATGGCTTCAAAAGAATGAAGGGATAGGTGGCTTCTCTAGTAGTTTGCTAAATACATTGATATCCAAGCAAATCAAGGAGGTGGGAGACTTATTTTATATTCTAGTTTGTTGATATGTGAAGTTTGAGTTTTTGATTGTTTAAGTAATAAAATGTAAATTGAACAATGGATAGTGTGAATGTGTATTGTGACATACAAGAGAGAGTATTGAACAATTATTTTAATGCTTTCTTTTAAATTAAAAATTAAAACATATATAACTTTAAAATTTGATTTATTAGCTATATTTTGATCTCGAGTTTATTGATATTAAATTAGTAGTTCAGTTAAGTTTTGAATGTAAAAAAGTCATGACGTGCTCATTTTGACCACAAAAGTTTTTTGTTTTTAAACAGGTATCATTAGATTATTAGGTTGTATCTAAGTGGAATTGTTTAATATTTTGTTGCTGTTGTTGAAAGGCGGTTTTCATTTTACTATGGTCTATATTCCTTTTGGAACAGATCTTTTTGCTGTGCTAAAGACATTTTTTGTTACTGTTTGTGAAACATTATGTCAAAGTAAGATTACATGGATTGTAGTTTGTTATAAGCTAACAAACTAACAAGCTTTTAAATGACAAGTAAGTGATTTTATTTAATAGCATAATTGTTTTTTTTCTGTTAAACAAGATAGGAATGAGATGATTGAACCATTTATATGGGTATACATTTTGTTTATCCAAAACATTTCTTTGTATATGTGTGTGTTTAAGTATGCTAAAAACATTATTTTATTTGGCCCCCAGGTAAATAGTCTATATATGAAGCCTCCAATCAAAGTAGATGATGGGATGCATATCGAGAAACCAGCATACTCATATAAGACTGATTTCGCAGCTATGGTCGAAAAACTGAGAAAAGAAATTGATGTCAAAGAACAAAAACCTGAAGTGGATGTTCTCTCTGGTTTATCAGATATTGGGTATAGTAAAATAGTAGTTTGTTTAATATTGTTTTGTTTCTCCAAAGTGAGATAATTTTGAAGTTTCCTTTATGTATTGTTTCAGCTGAAACAACAGGAGTAAGGTAAAAGTGAATTACACACTGTGAAAATAAATATTTTAAATTAGAAAATAAGTAAATTAAAATCTGGCTATGTAATTCAATCTCACTGAGTGAGAATTTGACATAGATTTTACCCAAATGATAAAAAGTACAGTAGTAAGGTCAATAGAAAATGAAATAAAAGTATTTTATTGCATTAAAGCTAAGGAAAGCAATTGTATTTTTATAAAATAAGAAATAAATACTAAAAAAAACATTAAATATGTGACTCGTACTGCTGTGCTGTTAAAGCTATACTAAGGAATTTGTATATTAGAAGTAAACATTATGTTAATCCTTTGCAGTGTTCATTTTTGTTCATATTAGGAAATTTATGCACAACTTCTGTATACGTAATATTGTGATTTTTGGATGTTTTCATATGCTGTAATAACTTAGAGATCTTACTTTTCACAAAACTTGTGGATTTGCAATTATATTTCAGTACTATTTTTTATTTCCATCAACTACTTAAAAACAAAACTAGACCATGAAATGGATTTTTAAAGAATTGTTTTTATGATAGGCTTGGTGTAGGCATGTAAAGGATTGTTCAAAATAGGTATGCATATTTAGATTTTCAAAATTTTCATATTGGAGGCCCCTGATCAAAGAGATTTTGGAAGTTCCTAGCATGGATTTATTTTGAAATTGACAAAAATATGTAAATGGCTATTCAAAACAAGATGTACATATCTTTTATATAGTTGTTTCCCATGAGTTTTCATGGGTAAGTTGCTAATTCTGTTCAGAAAATGTCTAGTTTGTGGTTGTATATTTCCTTACCAAATTATTCATTTCACAGGTAACTTTAATTGTGATTTGCTTTAAAGCTTTTATCGGGTTGTTTTAGAATTTAAAATACTGCTTGATTAAAACACAAGTACTTTTGATTTTTAATTTGTCTACTATGTAGAGAGCTGGTTATGGATCCAGATCAGAACGTTCCGTTCGATGCCTTGTTAACTCTAGTGGATCTAAGTTATGGATTATTTGACTTTTACAAGATGCAGGTAGAGTGTAATTTTTCTATTTCCAAGGAAATAATTGTTGAACTTTTACCATACATTTTTAAAGATAGAATTTACTTCTTTGATACTAGATTAAAACATAATTATATACTGCTGTAAATTTTAAATAATATATATAATCATGTTTACAGATTCTTAAGAAACACTGAAATTATACTGTCATTACCCACGATTTTGCTGATTTTTTTACTCCATAATAGAAGTAACAATATTTATATATCTTTTCAAAGTAGTAAATTACTTTTATACCCTAATTACACATGTAAGCCATAATAGAAGTGACAAAATAGTAAATTACTTTTATACCCTAATTACACATGTAAGCCATAATAGAAGTGACAAAATAGTAAATTACTTTTATACCCTAATTACACATGTAACCCATAATAGAAGTGACATAATAGTAAATTACTTATATACACTAATTATACATGTAAGCCATAATAGAAGTGACATAATAGTAAATTACTTTTATACCCTAATTACATGTAAGCCATAATAGAAGTGACATAATAGTAAATTACTTTTATACCCTAATTACACATGTAAGCCATAATAGAAGTGACATAATAGTAAATTACTTTTATACCCTATTTACACATGTAAGCCATAATAGAAGTGACAAAATAGTAAATTACTTTTATTCCCTAATCATACATTGTTTTGTTGATTCTGTAAGCCATAATAAAGCTGACAATATTTAGATATATTTTTAAAGTAATAAATCAATTTTATGCTCTAATTATAATTGGTGATTCCGTGAACAGTAATAGAAATTACATCATTTATCTCTCTCTCTCTTGAAAATAATAAATATCTTCTGTACTCTTACTTCTGTAATCTTACTTGTCTTTTGGTAGTAAATACTTTTTGTTTTCTTCTACTTATTGGTATTACATTTAAATACATGTTAATCCATTTAACTCTATCGCCCTGGGTATCCTTTACTGCTAATGACAAAAGGTTTGTGTCTTACATTCAAAATTTTATTAACTACTTTTTATTTATGTTATAACAATTAGAATAGCATAAAATATTAGTTAATAATTCATATTTTAACAGTATACAAGTTTTAACTTCTTAATTCTACAAGGCAATACTTTAAAAAATCCTGAATTTTCACTAGTGTGACTGACCTATGTGATACATTTTCTCTTACTATTTCATCATTGCTATTTTATCCACCACCCTTCGAAAAAGTATGAAATTAAACATAAATTATTCTCTATAAAATCGTTATTGCTCAGACAAACCATAATTTTTATAGTCTTCAATTTTGTTTGGTTACAGAGCTATTGAATAGAAAATCAGACCCATCCTGTCCCATCCTCTCTTTCATAATTTGTTGATAGTTCTCTTACGTTTCATTATATATTACCTATAATCAATAGAAAGTCAAGGTTTTCATCTATCAAATGATGTATTGTATAATGCTATATTCTGAACAGTTAGAAGTCAATTTCATTCAGAGTACCAACATCATTTCCTTGGGAAAGTTAATTATTAGCTTGGATAAATTTGTAATGGTTCTTGTCACGTAGTTAGAAAGCCAAACAAATTTTGAGAGGTAAGGCAATTTGTCTACTTTTTGCATGTTATTAGTCTATATTCTTTGGTGCATTATTTAATTACATGAAAATTATTAAGTTCATTACTATTAGTACTATAAAAAAATTAGGCTTAACTGTCCTTGACAATCGAGGGCTAGAAAAAAAAAATTGGGTAAGTACTTTATTTCTTGTTTTCCATATGTATTATTTATTTGTTATCATAAAAGTAACTAAAATATAAAAATGGTTCATGAGGCATGTACGTGAGCAGCTCGTAGTAGCTTGTGGGTAACATAATTTGATAGAGTAATGTAACCTGCACATTCTCCAAGTAAGTTACAACTTTTTTATTCCATGAATAGTAGTTAGACACAGTTCAAAGGAAAATAAAATGATAAAATTTAATTATAAATAGATGTATACTGTTACGAACTTAGAGCTACTTAGGATAAACGAATCTAGTTTCATGTTACAATTTGAAGTCATTCTAGAAAGAAAAAAAGGGTAATTTAGGTTTATTTAGATTTTTCTTTTGGTAGTTACGTAGCTAGTCAAATTGACCAATCCAGTTTTGATATTAGGGCAGAGAAAATAACATATAAACTATTAGGATTTAGTGAAAAAAACGTTTGAAATGCATTTAGGAGGTTTTAGGGATTACACAAAGGAAATTTGAGATTTTTGAGATGACGAAAAGTATTTTTTATTTTAACAT